CCCCTCAAAGAACAAATTAGATATAATTTCTTATAAAATAAAACAAAAACATTCATTGCTTCGCTCAAAATCTAAATTGTATGTTAGTATATTACTCACCTATGAACATTCCTTTATTATTGAGAAGTGCCAATTAATTCACGTACGTTCACTAATTCATTTCTCATAATATTTTTACAATAAAAGATAATCTGTGGAACATTTTATCACATAGAAGAATTATTCATTAAATTCTTAATTTTTGTTTGCAGGAGTTTTGCGAGAAACTTGGAAACATACAAAATGTTGACACGTTTGAAACCTCCGCGTTCAGCTTTTGATGAATTGGGACGTGGGTTGGTAAGTTGATCATTTAGTTAAAATATATTTTTTTATTTTAATAATATTTTAATATTTCTTTTTATTAATTTAAACGATATTGTTTGATATTTTTTCCATGAATTCCTTAGAGTCTAAATCGAGTAAGTAAATTGATTTTCCAATTTGTAGCGCAATATATTATTATTGCAACATCATCACACACATATAAAAAAAAAAATTACATTAAAATTATTGTTTTTATATAACAGCAAGATACATTGTGGGGTCAGGTAAGATGACAAGTAGAGGAGTAATGATATTTTTGGAGTATTTTGATTTTAAAGCTTTATTACACCTTTAATGCGTGATTTAAAATTAAAAATTAATGAAAAAAAAAAAAAATAATTATAAATTTAAACATTTTATCAAATTTTATTATGTATTGTATTTAAAATAGGTTTAATAGTTGTATTAGTGTTAACTACTCGTATTTATTTTAGTGTGTTTTGATTGGGCTTATGTTATATTGTAATGCAGATTATTTTTCTACTGAGATTTTAATAGTAGTTCTTATTTTATAAGCGAAATTAAATTATGGCATATTAATAATTTCGAGTAATTGACAATTATAGGAAGGTTATACTCTTGCTGTAATGCACATCGGAGCTCCTGCATGCGGTATGAATTCTGCTGTTCGTTCATTTGTACGAAATTGCATCTACAGAGGTGACACTGTTTATGGCATTCATGATGGTGTAGAAGGTTTAGTCGCAGGAAATGTTAGTATATTTTTTTTGTAATTAAAGGCTAGCTATAGCGTTAAATAACTCTTTGGTTCCTTAGATTCAAGTAATGCAGTGGTCTGATGTTACTGGCTGGGTCGGCCAAGGCGGTGCTATGCTGGGTACAAAGCGTACTCTTCCAGAAAAGAGAATGCCAGAAATTGCTGCTAGGCTTAAAGAGTTCAACATTCAAGCACTTTTGATAATTGGAGGCTTTGAGGTTAGTAACATGTGCAATGAGCATTTTAGATTTGAAATTTGTATTAACTTGATTATTTTAGGCATACCAAGCTGGAATTCAGTTAGTTCAGAACCGTAAAAATTTCCCAGAATTCTGCATACCGATGGTTATAATACCATCAACTATTAGTAACAACGTGCCTGGTACAGAATTTTCATTAGGTTGTGATACCGCTCTAAATGAAATCACTGAAGTTCGTAATTTTAATTATTATTGCCTTTTATAAATCTTAATAGCTTATATATGGTTACAATTTTTTACTTCAGATTTGTGATAGAATTAGACAGTCTGCTCAAGGTACTAAGCGACGGGTATTTGTTATTGAAACTATGGGTGGTTACTGTGGATATTTAGCCACTGTTGCTGGTTTGGCTGGTGGCGCTGATGCAGCTTATATATATGAAGAGAAATTCACCATAAAAGATTTGCAAAACGATGTATATCATATGGCTTCAAAGATGGCAGAAGGTGTYCAACGAGGTTTGATATTAAGGTCAGTTTCTAAATAAAAACAAAAACTTAACACTAATTTTTTACAAGTCTAAGAATTGTGTTTTTATTTTTAGGAATGAAAAATGTAGTGAGAACTACAACACTGACTTTATATTCAGACTTTACACTGAAGAAGGAAAAGGTTTATTCAGTACTCGTATGAATGTTTTAGGTAAAACTTTTGTAATATTTTTAATTACCTAATCTAATTAAATAGTTAGGACTAAAAAAAAATATATATATATATATATAGTTTGTAATTAATTTTATGGTAAATTGTTTATCATAAATGTATTTATCTAGGTCATATGCAACAAGGTGGTTCACCTACTCCATTTGATCGTAACATGGGGACAAAGCAAGCAGCAAAATGCGTGGAATGGTTAGTTGAAAAATTGAGAGAATCTACTAGACCAGATGGAACAATTTATACAGATAATCCAGATACGGCTGCAATGATGGGTGTTATAAGACGGCAGTATCGTTTTACACCTTTAACTGATTTGTTGCCTCTTACTAATTTTGAGTAAGAAAATTATTTTAATGTATTTTGTATTTTACCAATATAAATATTTCATTGAAAATCATCACAGATAATTTAAATTTATGTATTGACTGGAAAGTAAATGGTTGTAAGAAGAAATTTAAATTTTTGAATCAAMTTAATATTTAATTTTTTATAATATTGAGAGGACATTTTTTTAACTGAGAATATTTTTTTTTGAAAAGGAATATTAATCAAGCGTTTTGTTAGAGTTGTTTGAATGTTGAATAAAAATTTAAAGTACCGTAATTCTCAATGTAAAATGATAAATTATTGTTATTTACAGGCAGCGTATAGCTAAAACTCAGTGGTGGTTAAAATTGAGACCACTCTTACGTATACTTGCTAAACATGATAGCGCGTATGAAGAGGAAGGTATGTACATAACAGTTGAGGAAGGACTTGAAGCGGATACACTGTTAGCTTAAACRAAACACTTTACTGATTATATGTTTTTACTGAAACCCTGTTATTTTTATCTCAATAATCAATATATTAATAATCAATAGGTACATTTAAATTACAAAAATTAAAAATTCACCTGATTAATAATAATTATAGTTTATACATTAGTAAACACTCTAGTCATCATGTATAAAGTAGATAATACTTATATTCTCAACAAATTATTTATCAATATTGAAACTATTGTAATTACGTTTAGACTGTTTTTTAGATAAATATTTGTGTTTATCAGTACAATGCTATCTAGTTTAATGTTTGATCAATAAAATAAATATTAAAAATTATTTAATGTAATCAATTAATTTGTTGTTAAAGTAACTAATCATTTTCTGAATATTTCTTATTATATACAAATATCTTACATTTACTACTTAACATAAAATAAGTGTTAGCTATTGTTTTTAGACTTGGATTTTTTTTTTTTTTATTGTTGTAAAATAAAACCATATCAATTCGACAATTCAAGTATTTAGCAAAAATATTATTCAATTAATGGATAACTCAATTAGTAAAATAAAAAATATACAGTCAATGCCAACCAGATGTGATATTAAATTTCTTCTATTATCCTCTAACTATCCTTCCAATAGAAACTATAAACTATAAAATAAAAATGTTTACA